TCCACAGGAGCCCTGTAGTTGTGTTTGCAGCCCACCCCACCAAACAGAGGTTGATTCTTTGCACACTTTGAGCTCTCTCTAATCGTTTCTTTTAACTCGTATATTTTCTGCTGGCGGCAGGTTACGTCATCCCTATTAAAAGAGCAATTGCCTGCAGGTTTGTATGTTTTTAACAACATATAATATGCCCATTTAACATGTAATTTAAATTAGGAGTGAAAGGACTGCTTTCAATTTCTAAGTCAGGAGAACAAATATAATTTGTTCTAATATCACCTCATGTTATCTTGATAAAAAAAATCCCTCGTTGTGTAAACCTCCATGTTAGTTTGCTTAATTTGAATTTACCAACTGCTTGAACTCCTTTGGGTTTGAATTTGTAAATCCATTTGGAGTAGAAAGCTGTAAACAAAAACTATTAAATAGAGAACTTGCCACCTTCAGCTGCAACATGACATTTATGATTAGCTAAAGGAACAAATAGGCAAAAGCTAATTTTAACGTGCATATGTACAGTAGTCCCTCACTGCTTCGTGGTTCGTTTATCGCAGATTCACTCTATCGCGGTTTTTCAAAATAAGATTGGACATGACACACAATTAGCTGATTGATGGACGAGCCGCACAATCGGCATGGAATTTTTATTTTAAATAAATTATTTTAAATTATTTAGCACCTGCTGCACATTTGTGCAGCCCACACTGCAGGATAAACTTCCAGCTGCAGCTGATCAGCTGATCAGCATGCAGAGCGGAGAAGTGGGCGTGCGCTTGCAGGTAGAGTTGCACTCGGGTCCAAATAATCTGAATCGACCCAGCCCAAGCCCATAGCCATCATCTCCGAACCCCATCCAATCCAACAAATTAACAGTAATTACAGGTTTGAACCTGGAAAAAAACCTGACATATTATTAACGGTTGGCGGATGCGCGCGGCTGAGGGGGCAGAAGATCAGAGCTGAAGATCTGTCAAAGCGCATTAAATGATTCCCCTGCTTCTGCCTGCATGGACCCTGCTCTGACATGTCAGATATTTTGTGATCTCACCTGTTTGGGTCATCGGCCGCGCGCGTCCGCTGAGTGCAGCAGCTGAATGAACATCCATTTGGGCTGATGGATCGCTGGCTGTAGTCCATCTGAAGCTTAACTGAACTTTTCACCTCTTTCAACCGGCTGGTCAGCGCGCGGTCAAATGGCCGCGTGCGGCAGGTGCAGTATGGCAAGTCATATTTGCATATATTGGATCATCCGCTGCAAGCGTTCCTGATGCAATAAGAAGCCTGACACCGCCCCGACCCACACATTAAGCACATTATTATGGCACGGCCCGGTCCAAATCCGGGTCGGGCAGGACCGGGCTCTGGGTTTGGGTTAGAAATGACAGCTGTACTTGCAGGTAGCAAAGAGCAGAGGAGGCAGGGAGCTGAAATCATGACATTCTGTGCTCTTTTAGAGCATTGAGAGTTTAAAAACATTGTTTAGAATATTGCAAGACTGTGGGAAGGGTTCACAATGCCTTAATATCTCTATACAGTATATAAATACTAAATTAAAATACTACTTACTACTTGTACTACTATTCCTACTTTGCGGTTTTTCACTTATCATGAGTCTTCAGGGTACCAATCCCCCACAATAAAGAAGGGACTACTGTTTACCATATTTTTTGGACTATAAGGTGCATCGGATTATAAGGTGCTTCAAGCGAAACAAAACAGATAAGTCAAACTTTAATTTACTTATTCACAATAACTACATAAAATTGATTCGAGGCCTGTATTCACAACCATAATTTATACATACGGTGCACCGGATTATAAGGCTCACTGTAGATATTTGCGAAAATTAAAGGATTTTAAGTGCGCCTTATAGTCTGAAAAATACGGCAATTTAATCCAGGACTCTCCCGTTATGTGTTTTTTTAGTAAACAGTTTACTAGTTTAAAGGAATTTTGGATAACATAACAATATTATTAGTTTCCCTCTATTTTCACTGCAAATTCCTCTAACTTTAACTTTTCCTTTCGTTTTTTCCCCCGTGTTATGACTTCAGTCATCCCTCCTCCCATTCCCAACAACTTCCTTGTATATTTTCCAGCTCTCACCCACCATAGTGCCTTGGTATGTGCTGTGATTTGAATTATTTTCCACCAGTAGTGTCCTTCCCACCCTAACACCCATCCCTGAACACACTCCCGCTTTTTCCTGTAAAAAGTAACGCTCACTAAACATAGCTGCATGATGTCATCGCTGCGTTTTGTGGAGTCATTGCAACAACATTCTGCTTCCTGTTGCTTTAGTTTTATACGCAGCATTTAATAGTTGTTTATTGTTGTTGAAGTGAACCTTTACCTCGGGCGTTACGCAGCTGAGGGAGGAGCTTCGGCCTCAAACATGTTTGCTAACAGCTAAAATCTCTGTGGACACAGCTCTGAAAAGCACAAAACAGCTTTCTATGAATCTGTCAGGGCTAATAAATCACAAAATGACAAACCGAAACAATAACAGGAATGCAGAGGTGTGTGATCTTTCCGATCGCACGCCTTTTTGGGGCAGAAATCTAAATGCGAGCCATGCTGAACAACGGCTGTGTGCTGAAGTGTTTTCTCTCAGAACATGCCACTGAGTCCATCGAGGAAACCCAAAAGGGCTGAGTCAGAGATCCCATCTTTTCCGGATGCAGAGCAAGCGTAACTTTCCTTTGAAAGACATGATGGAAAGATCAACGGGCATCTCCTGAGGGAGCTACTGCAGCACACCGAGCTATGGCCCCCATGGCCAAACAGCCCAGGGGCCCGCTGTCTGCCACTGGGCCAGGCTGAGCTGTTTACTTTAGGAGGACTTTCAACCCTGCAGAGCCATGAAGTCTTTCTGCCTTTCCTCTCTGTTTCCCTCTGTTTTTTATCTTTTTGTTGCTTTCTTGAGCAAAATTCTCTTTTTGTTTCAAAGATGCATCTTATTCCTCCAGTCTCACGGCGTTTAAACGTGACTTTCAGCTCTGTGAATAAATAAGCAGAGGAGGGAGGATTTCTCTGCCGTTGTGTTACGACACCGAGGCAGGATAAAATCAGCAACTCTTTAAATATTTGCTCGTGTTTTGAGCTCAACACTAGCTTGAATTTATATGTTTAAAGGAGTTTTTATTATTTATCTGTTTGGAAGCTCCAAGACTTGATGTCCCGGTGGTTTTACTGTGCAAAGAAATTAAAACTAGTATTTCTAATGTTCATTTTGAGTTAAGATTTCATATCAACAATAAAAAGGTAAAAATTCATTATCACACCATTTGTCAAAAATCTGTTGCCTTCGGAGCTTTAAACTGAAATTATCTTCTGTTTAGAGACGACAAAGTTGTAGAGGTTTAATCAAACTTATGAAATAATGAACCATGATCTCATGCAGCATCATGAGATTTTATGCTCAGAGTTTGTGTTGTGTGTGGCTCTCAGCTCCTGTCATATCAAATTTTAGCTCAACATCTGTAAAACTGACTGATTTATATTTTTTGTGTTTGCAAATATTGATTAGATGTGGCAGCCATCTTGAATTGGGTCGACTCCAAAAAGCAAAGATTTTGAAGATGCACGCCCAATAATTACTTTCTTAAATTTTCAGCCAAATATATGTAGTAGTTATTGAGATATTTTGCTAACAGACAAACAGGGTTGGCTCCAACAGCTTATAATAAAGTGTTAAGCAAATACTTCAAGCAATAAGAAGCAATTACTGGTACATATTGTGCATTAGTCTTAGCTACGTCTGCCCAGCTTTGGCACAATATTTGTAAAATTGAATGAATTATATCAATTTTGTGTTTTCTAAGATTAGGTAGCTGCAGCAGCCATCTTGAATTGTGATGTCTCAAAAGAATGAATCAGTTAAAAATGTACTTATATTACTGAGAGTTTTACTTGAATCATTTCAATAGTTTATGACAGAGCTAACTCCAAATAGTTAATTGCAATGTTTTACCAAAGCTCTTACACAATTTGTTAATGATCAGATTATATGCTGGGGATTAGGCTCAGCTACTACCACACCAAATATTAGGTCCGTATCTGTAAAACTGAGCGGATTATCAGCATTTGTGGCCTTTGGGTGCACGATAATGATCAAATGTCAGAATTTAACCAGAGAAAGACGTATAGTTGCAATAAGCTCCATCATCAGACTTTGCAGACTGTTGTGCGGTGCAGCACATTCCTCCACACTCAATAAACGGCGCTCGATCAAGATGTCAAAGAGCAGACTGATAACGCTAAGCTCAGACATAAATCTTCTCCATCTCTGAAATCGTTTCATGTGGAATTACTGACGGGCCGTATTCTCTTAAGTTACTGTAAACACTGTGACAGGTACTTTGAGCTGCTGGTTCAAGAGGACACAGGGAAGTAGTTTGTGCTTTAAGCCCCCCCACCCCCAGGAGACCAGAAGGGGGGAAGAAAAACTCGTGAGTAAAAATGTTGTCAGGAGGAATAAAAAGTTTACTTTAATGGAACAAACAATAAGAACATCTTCCCAAAAAAACAACAAGGAACTGTAGCATGTAAGTATAAATGGCTGTTTTGTATTTAAGAAACATTTGGATTTTTCAAAATAAGGCACGACTTTATTGTTTGGTTTTTTTTTAACTGTGCTTTTCGTGGTCTTGTCACCGTTAAAAAACATATTTAAAATAAAGTTTATTTGGCGTTTTGGAAGCAGGGAGCGAAACCAAAAAATCTGAATGAAATTAAACACTTTCGTCCCTTCAATGCAACTTTTCAAACAAACTGTAGGTTAATTCGCTTCATCAGTTTATTTTGGATTTAAATATAATTTCTCATTATGTTCCAGAAAGAAAAAAAAAATTAAAAATGCAAAAATATGCGTCTTTGAAGAAATAAATAAGATTTTGAAAGAGTGAACATGCTTCTCAAGGATATAAAATATTTATATAAAACCTCTCCTTGTGCCTGACAAAGTTTTATCAGACTGCGTTCAGATTTTAATCTCTTCTTGATTGTTTTTTTTTTTTTGAACAAATTAAATCAATATGCATCTTTTTGTTTTGACAGAGTCGTGTAAAGAAACACATTGAATCATGAAAGCGATCATCCGCACAGTCACATGGTTTATTCAGAGGTGAGCTTTCTCTCCACTTTGTTCTAATTTAAAACAAAAACGATGGAGAGAGAACGTATAAAGTTTAGATCGAGTCAGGTAGTGCAGCAGTTTATGTGTTGGACCAGAAACATGAGTAAAAAATAAACTGTTCCGGTTGAGCTTTGTTCAAAATAAAACATGCTTTTAATGAAAAGTACCTCACAGACGAGCTGACCCTGTCTTCTCATATTAAAAAAAAAGAAACGAGTCAGAAAAAAAATCAATAATTTGCCTTTTTTTTCAGTAAATGATTAAAACAAAAACAACACTTTGTGACATTTATACCCTGTTTAAACCAAACTTGTTTCAGTCGTTTGCAGTAAGAGCTTTTAGTGGAAAACGTGCCGATTTGCCACTGCTTTACTACGAACAACCGCTTTTCAAAAGGGAAGGGGGACACGCACAGAGGACATTAAAATGGTTCAACTTCTACCCTATGTTTGATATCTTTATTAACAATCACGTTCTCAACATTGGAAGATTTATAAATATATTTTACTTCTGATTCATTACAGATGTTTTATGGCGTGATTCCAGTTGTGGGGGGACAAAAAAAAAAAAAAGACCAAATGTCCAAAGTGCTTCATGAAGCACTGATGTCCAAGTTTTTTTTTTTTTTTTGGTTGTTGTTGTTTCTCAGAGAGGAACTCCTTCATGGCTTTTGTGGCACAGAACCCAGATCAGGTTTTTAACATTGATGGGAGACATCAGAGTCCACGACGGGTCCCATCCATCAGGCCTTGTGTTCTTCCAGCACCACTCTGGAGCATAATCCCAGATATTCCATGTTTTCATGCAGGGTGATGATCATCTCACCCTTTTGGGGGGTGGGGGGCTGGGGGTGCAAATAGTGTCCCCGGATACATCCACACTTATCCAGCATCCAGACAGAGGGAAGAGCGAGGATTGGGTGGGGGGCAGGGAGTTCTGTCCACCCTGAGAAAAACTTTTTAAGCCAAGGCCATGGGGCACCAGGGTTCGCCCCTCACCGAAGCTACATCTGAATTCTGGGTCAGACTCACGCTGGTGTACAGGCTGTCCTGTCCCGGGAACTTCACCGCTGGGCCCGAGCTCGTTCCCTCCCCCGAGCTGGAGAGCACAGATGAGCTGACCTGCAAATAACAGCACACACAAAAAAAAGGGTTTGATGTTAAGAGTCTGAGGTGAAGGTGCCGCTCGTGTGAAGGAGCAGCAGGAGTGGGAGTTGCTGAACTCAAGATTCCATTTGAATTACGCATCACTGACAAAAAAAAAGGCAGCAAATAAAAGTCTCAGATCCTGAGAAATCTGAGGCTCATCTTCCTGTAACATGGACGCCCAGTCAGCACGACAGTAAAATGCATAATTCCAGATTTGTTTACCACCAAATAACGTGGCGTTTACACTCATTTCACAACCAATGTGCACATCTTACAGATGAATTCAAAAGCACAACTCACCCCTGATGCTTGTGCAGAAGGAGAACTGGTTTTGGAGCAGTCTTCAGAGTTGGATGAAGAGGTGGATGTGGGAGTCATGGACACAGAGCTGTTATTGCCTTTAATTAAAAACAGAAATTACAATTTTTAGTTGAAATATGCAACATTTATCCTTATGAGAAACAAGTGCGGATGATTTACCAGAGGATCCTTTGGTTTTATTCAAAGTTTTGGGTTTCCTTTTTCTCGTCTGGATTCCCTCTTTCTTCATGGCGAGGGGCCGAGGTACCTGCAGGGTTCATCAGATAAGTGTTGGAGGAATCAAAGCTGCATTTTATAAAACATTTCTTTAAAAGCTGGACTCACCCCGTGCAGTTTCGTGTAGAGCCCACATGCGTTGCACACCGGCTCCCCCTCCGCGTTTCTGCGCCACAAGGTGGTTGTGCTGGTCTGGCAGTTTGCGCAGGAGAGGCCGATCCGTCTGGAGGTCGACTAGTGACGCACAGAAAACAATTAATTATGAAATTATTTTGGGGAAAAAAATTGTAATTTTATGAAAACTCTCTTTAGAAATCATTAAAAAAAAAAGTTACACTCCAAACTGCACTTTGGCTGCTCTTAATAACTTATTTCCTAACAATAACATGGGTTCTATTGTGGTGTCCATTTAGGTGGCGCGTTTACGGACACATTTTGACAGGGTGTTCATTTTCTATCTGTGAGAACTAATTTCCCAGTAATACCCGTGCGTAATGGCGCCAGGAAACATCCATCAGACCCAATCTGTGCGTATAGATTTTGAAGAATTAGAATATAAAGTGTTTTAAAAAATATATTGGGCCATAAAAATCAAGCAATAAAACAATCATTGGATCTTTTTGTTGCAAAAAAAGGCATAACATTAGGATTTATCTGCTGAAAGGAAAATGTCCAAATGTGTAAAATGTAATTTTACGGAAAATAACCTTTCCATTTGTACTAAAGTTAAATTCACGCCAAATTAAATTGTATTGTTTAAGGTAATTAGGCAGGAAATTGAGCGCTCAATCGTCCTCGCATGCGCCCTCCTCCCCTCCCCCCAAGTCCTCACCGTGCGCTTCTGAGGTTTAATTAATGGCCGGCTCAGGCCATTCATTTTGCTGTAAAGGCCGCAGGCGTTGCAGAGAAAGTGGCCCGTGCCGTCTCGCCTCCACAGCGGCGTGGAGATGGAGCCGCAGTTCACGCACTCCCTGCTCTCCGCCATGTCATCCAGGATGTCTGAAACTGAGCAGAAACACGCTTCAGTGAAGGAAAGAAAGAAAAACGAGTGAACAAACAACATCCCTCAGTGGTTCCGTTTGAACAATTTGGTTTAAATTTCACGAAAGCATGAGAGAAACGTTTAACTGGTTCAAATTCTCATCAGCTGTTGCGCTAAATGTTGCTTCACGTCAAACTTTTGCAGTTTCTGTGCGCCTTTGCGCACAAAATCAGCGTCCTTCCTGGAAAATTCAGCCCTTTTAAAAAAAAGTATTTTAATCATTCTTATGTGAGTGTTTAATTCCACAGATTTTGCACAAAATACTTTTTTTTTTTTTTTAATTTCCAGACATGACGCATAAAATTCCATCATTCTGCTTTGTAAGATCTCTTACCCCCATTCGGTCCTCTGATCAAGGGCGCGCTTCTGCTCTGCAAGGTGTGCAGCATCGTGTTGTCAAAAGCCCCCCCAGTCCAAGGCGAGGGCAGCTGGGGGGTGACATAAGGGGAGTACGGGCTCGCGTAGGTCCCACTGAGCGGGCGGGAGAGCCCGTACTGGTCCCTGCTGCTCACATTCAGCGTGTTACTGTAGCTGCCGTCCCTGACTGTTCCGTTGTTCATGGGGGGGCTGGGGGGGTAGTGGAAGCGGCTGGATGTGTGTGGGCTCCCGGCGCTGTATGAGGGGCTCTCCGGGGCGGACTGCGACCACACCGAGTGGCTGGAGACGGCGTGTCCGGGCTGCGCAGAGCCGCCGGCCTGCAGGTACGGGAGGCTGGAGATCATGGGGTTGACCCGGGAGCTGGGGACGTACACCGGGGAGTTGGGGTTGGAGTGCATGTAGCCCGCCGAGGAGGAATCATATCCCGTCTGGCTTTGCGCGGCGGCGATGGCCAGAGTCTGGTACATGTCTGTGGGGTCCACCAGCAGGCTCGCCGCCTTGTGCGCTCCCGCGGAGAGGACGAGTTTGCTCCCCTGATCTAGGTCCGTGAAGAGCGGGAGGTCCTCCGCGGCGCTCAGGGTGCCTCCGTGCGCGTGTCCGAAGTGGAGGTAGGAGTGCAGCGACCTGCCGTCCGCGCGCCGGGGGCCCAGCGCGTCCAGCTCGCCCGGAGGCGTCCTGAGCTCCACAGACGTGTCCCTCCTGTCACCCGGCAGGTAGGTGTGCTCCGCCGGCGAGCCTGGGCTGCTGGAAACTTCTCGCTTCACCATGGACCAGCTGTTTTCACCCAGGTCCATCCAGGAGCACTTTCCATACAATGAGGGAGCGATTGAAAAAAAATTAAATAACAAAAAAATAATAAAAATCGAAACGAGCAGAGCGCAGTTTAGCCTGTAAAGAAAGGAGAGTCAGAAACTTTAAAAATGTGTATTTATATTCCGGCCCAACTAAATATATTATTAGTTTATTTTGGCTCAAATTAAACTTGTAAACTTGTAATTATCATCTCTATCTCCAGTAACAAGCCAGCCTGTAGACATACTCCCATCAAGCTCTTAAGAGAGGCGCACGGGTCCATCCGTGTCAAATCACTATCCTCCCCCAACACGCACACACACACGCACGCACATAAACACACATAAACACACGAAACAGATAGGAAACAAAACGCAATATGTCTTCACAGCGAAAGAGATAACAGTTTGATAAGACCAGAAAGAGATAAGGACCGAGAGGCAGCGATAAAACAAAAGCCCAGAAATGATGCGTTCACTGTCCGCTGCGCACACAAGGCCAGATGTTGCAGCACCAAGAGGACAGAAAGCAGGGAGAGGGACAAAAAACGGGACGCTTTTGACTCCATACCTGCTAGTTGTGTGCCATGAGGACGCACGGAAAGCTTTCAGTCCCGCAGCAGCAGCAGCAGCGCCACAGCTCGTCTCCTGGAAGGAAAGTGGGAAGCGTCCGTGCGCTCTGACGACGTTTAAGGGAGGAGGCGCCTCTGACTGCCGCGGCAGCGCGAGGAGGACCAATCATGTTGCGCGCGGAGCGGCTGGACACCCAGTGGGGGTGCCAGCCCCAGAGCTCCTCCAATCAATCACAGCCAGGAGCAGAGAGGAAGAAGAAACCCGATCGCGTAAAAATGAGAACGCATTTTGCAAGATTAACTAGTTTTCTACAAAATCTGAAAATGATGGAAGCTGCTGGCTCTGGTGTTGATCTGATTTCTACAAATGACAGCAATCAGTTTAATTTAAAACCTATAAATCACCAATAAATCTGCGCCTCACGTTAACAGCTGATTTTGTTTACTTGTTTGTTTTTGGCACAATTCAGCCAAATTGGATCTATTCATTCATTTTTATTAAAGTACAAACTTCACTTGTTCCAGCATTTTATTTGACCTCTTTTATGACATGAACGTTTTAAACGAGCATTTTACTTAAAAGACACAAAAAATACTAAATTATCAACAATTTTTACCAAGGTCGTTCATAAACAAAATTAATACACATAAAGCATTAATTAAAAAAAAAATCTAAATATCATTATTAATGTATATTTAAATTTACCTGCAGGTAAATGTAGTTGTATAAACTTTTTTTTTCCTCATTGTCTTACCATTTTAAAATATTACTGTACAATTTGTTTCTAACTTACATTATTATATCCTAATGTCGTGTCTGTTTGTGTTTATAGTGAGTCCGATTTCTCATCAACATGTTCCTGATTATTGTTTGGCCTCAAAGATCAATAATCCCTGCTGCTATAATTACTTTATTCAAATGTCTTCGTGCGCGCTGGCTGGACAAAGCAGCTTTGGCCCGAGATGATGCGTTCAAGGGCTGAATATACATGGAAGTGATTAAAAGGTGTCAATTAGATCAGTCACGTCATTCGCACGTGTCCGGGGGTCACGAGCGCTTCATCGCCTCTCACGAGTCATCCAGCTTATATTATTAGATTTGTCTGCACCAGTAACAACAAATAAAACATTTTATTGTGGCTGCATGAAATATGTTCCTCTAAAGCTAATATTAGTCATTGCAAAGTGGATTATTTAATGTTATTTTATTATCAGTAAAATGTTGCTTTTAGAGCAACATGAAATACAGTAAAATCTAATTATTACAAACATTAGTGCAAATATAGACTTTGCATTGTTATGCAATATTTACCATTAATAATAACTGACTTAATTTGCAGCAATATTGCAGTCTGAAAAGTTTGAAAATTATGCTTAAATTGAGTATATTCAGGTTTTTATTTCCCTCAACGATGCTCTGCGTCAGTAACATTAATATTGCTGCTAAATTCGTTAATATTTTCTTGTGACGTCATAGGGAGAAGGTGTTTCTCTGCAGCAGCTGACAGCTGAGTGCGTGCGGCCTAAAGAGGCTGTAAGAAATACATCCAACAATCAGGCCCTGCACTTTCCTTGTTTTCGTCCCTGATCCCAGTAACTGCATCACAATCCGACCCAACATCTGTCAGTTTTTAGCAGCCGAACCGGACATGTTTTGGAGACGCGCATTTTATTTTTATTTAGCTTTTATCAGAGGGAGTCACCGAACCAGGAGCTACTGGCTCCCATCCATGTGTGATCCTCTGGTCAGCAGAGCAACTGTCAGGGAGGTGAGAGGATCCAAAACCCTGTTGCTCCCCCCCCCCCCCACACACACACACACACGCACACACACACCTCTTCCAGCCTCAGCTTGATGAATGAGGTGTGTTGTTTTTTGCACTAATGTCAGAGCCGTGCTGCTCTGACGCACAGGACGCCGCCCTGTCTCAGTGCGCGCGCGGAGCTGTAATCTAATTATCTTTATCACCACAGAGCAGCCAGAAAAAAAAACTTTACGCATCTTCATACCTACAGGATGACAGGCTGCAAAACATTTCAATCACAACAGCATGTTGAATGCATGTCCGTGAAATAATAAGAATAGTAATAAAAGACTTTTTCTGAAAATTTGTTTCGTTTAAACACAATTTTAGGAAACGAATATAATAATAATAATGATAATAATAATAATATGGAAAATACCATGTTAATGCTGACTTTTATAAAATTCGTTAAATAATCACTTGTTACTGAATTGTTCCCATTCAAACAAGCAGAACAGAAGCTAAAATGAAACAAAGAATACCTAAAATCAGCAAAACAGTTGCTAAAAGCTAATCTTAGGGAAACCGTAACTCAAAGCTAAAACGATCAAATATCATCTAAAAGCCACAAACAGCAACTAAAAGCTAAAACTAACACATCTATTAAATGATTTAATGTAGCAAAATTGTAGATAAAATCTATCATGATCAAAATAGTACATAAAGCCAGCAACAACATTAAAATGTACAAAATTGCAGCGAAATGTTCAAATGAAATTGCTAAAAGCTAACTGTAAAAAAAAAATATCAAAACCAAATGAGAAAAATGTATCTACAAGCTAAAATGAGCATAACAGCAAAGAAGCACAATTTAACATAAGTGTATCTAACAGCTAAAATTAACACAAAAATGTAGCTAAAAGCTAAAGTTAGCGGAACCGTAAAAACTAAAGTTAGTGGAACTCAGTGGAGAGCTAGAAAAGAAAAATAAAGAAAATATGCTGAAACTTAAAACATCTCCACGTTTGTTTTTGTGAAGTATTTTGTAAATTAAGCAAAATAAAAAATAAATATAAAAAAATGACAAAAGTCATCTCAGACTAATCTTGCTTATTTTTATTAACCTTTATTTAACCAGGCAAGATGGTTAGGTTAAATAGTTAAAATAGCACAAGCATAGCTTGATTGTAAATAATAATAATAATAATAATAATAATAATCCTGGACTTTTCCATCTGTGGGAGTTGTATGTGGATGTTTGGTTCTTCAGGAGGTGTATCAGGTAATGGCTGACCCTCTTCAGGTGTCACAGTATTTTATGTACCGACTTGATAATGATTATCTCAAACTCCTCAGAGCTTCTGCTGCTCAGGAGGGCCTTCTTCAGTAAAAGCCGAGCTGTTAGCAGGCTGCAGGTCTGCAGGATCGATGCTTTCTCTGTGACGCAGCAGCAAACCGGAAGTGCAGCTCTGAGAGCAAAAGGCACCATGGCTCTCTGGATGTCTGACATGTTTTAGTTATGATGGATGGGAAACGAGCGCAGAGCAGGAAACAGACACGATTCATCATGTTAATGAGCTGCTTTCTTCTCTTTGTGTTTTTATAGATAATCTTCATGTTTTTAAGTTAAAAATGTTGTAAAGCAGACTTTCTGTCATGATAGAAAGTCCACATGCATTATCCTGCATAGTTCCGGAAGAGCGTCGTGTCGCGAG